TTAGATGGCACACTTGTCAATATATTAGGGTTAGGGTTATGACCCATGTTTTAATCTTAGTAAATGCAATTTTATATCAGGAGGTTTACCTTGTCCTTACTACTTCTTGGCATGTAATGTTTTGATCACCCTTTTCAGTTCTTCGCACTCCTGCGCTGTTCACACACCAGCAAGTGTTTGTCCCATTGCACTGTTTTGGTTTGAAGTTACCATTTGTATCACATTCTGGATCATATATGCCATCATTGTCTACATATGCAGTTTCTGGTCTTAACCTTCTACCTGATTTTAAGCCAGTCACTTCTGCTTTCATTAGTAGGCATTTTGAAGTCACTAAAAGATAGTCAAAATAGTAAAGAGTAAGTGGACTACATTAGCTTAAATACAATACTTTTGTCAGAAAGCAATGGAAATATAGTAAAATTTGTTAAGTTCTTATACTTACATGTGCTACAGTTCACTGTTTTATTATGTCCAAGTGATTTACACAAGCATACATTATTATTAAGGAAGCAATCTGTTGTCCGTTTGTTCTTCTTACATAAGCATTGTTCTGTAATATTCAAATCCAATGATTACAAAATAGCCCTTTGTATTCCACACCAAATAGGTAACTGTCTCCACTTTAAAGTCATTTTGCAGTAGGTAACTGGGAAATCATCCTATATCAAGGAAAGACTCCTTTGCCAACAGAGATAATTCAATTTATAGTTTGGAATTCTGACCCTGTAATAGCCAATACCACATCATACCATATCTGAAATTCTGTTATACTTCCATAAAGATTTTCTTCACCATGTTCTTGAGCTGGCTTTAAAAGGAAAGCATGTATCCAGTTTACAGATATTCTACTAAATAACATTCTTACATAACGTTTTCATAATTATAGATCTTTCAATTATAAACTCACAGGGAAAAAAAATCCCAAAACTATTTTAGAGATGGAGATACCATAATAGAACTGATTTTGATACAGTTTCAATTAAAAGTATAGTTCCAACACAAATCTCAGGTCTTAGGGACTGCTACTTCTAAGACGACATTTATTCTGCAGACCTCTTCTAAAGAGTAACTTATCTCCAACACACTTTAGTTTGTTAGTTCAGAGTCCATAATATCTGGTTCTACACAGATAAGCTGGCAGTATAGATGAGCTTCCTTTTCAAGTGTGTTACCCTTTTCCATTAAAATAGTACTAAAGGGAAACAGCTAAGGACTCCAAAGTATCTCCACCCAGTTCAGTGAAAAACATTATCCAGGAAGCAACTGCAGAATGTAGTTTAGTGCATAACAGGCAATGGCAGCCCTGCTTCATTTTAAAATCAGAGTTTAATTTTCTGTGACAACTAACTGTAGAGAAGTACATCAATTTTGGACATACTATATGAAACCAAAACTATCCTGTTTTAATGTGATAAGTTTAATGTGTATGCTTCTTCTCAACCAATCCCCATAGAAAATGAGAAACAATTCCCAAAATATGGGAAAAAAGCAATGGTGGTTTCTGCAGGTTAGCTTCCAGTCATAAGAAAGGTAAAAACTCCATGTTGTGACCATATAGCTGTAAGTAGTCAAGTAGAACCATGCTTTCTCAGAAACTCTGCAAAAGTGCATTCTTCTGGGAGATTTTGTGACTTCACAATCTAGCCTATAGTCCTAGTATGGTCTAGCACTTTCCCATCCAAGTACTAACCAGACTCAGCCCCACTTAGCTTCCCCGTTCTAACAAGGTTAGCCAGGAACCACTTACTTTTCCGTCATTTTTATACCAAAGGCCCTTTTCCACTTGCACTCAAGCATGGCACAAGCATACCCTGGCAACATCTTTTTCTGCCTTGTCCTATGAAGCAGCCTTCAAATTGTATCCAACCCATGAGTGGGTCAGCATTGTCAGCTGCACATGTGTTAAAACAGTATTTTACCCCTTATTCTTATACCAAGGGTAGACTCAAGTTGTATAAAAGCTGCTAGGCTTGTCATCCATTACCTTGGAGAGAAGTCAGATGACTCCAGCAGTTTAAAACAGAGGCACAAAAGATCAGAAATGGGGACAGCAAGCTTCACACCAGTATAGTTTCATACCAGCTCAAGATGAATGGAAAGTATTTCAACACAACAGTGGGAAAATGGCCTAAGAAACATTTAAAAGAGCTCAGGTAATGCAAAGCTACTATCTCCAGGGCTTTATGCACCAAAAATTGATACCCAGCCCTTCGGTATAACTGGGAGTTAACATGGGGTTGCTACTGATCTATGACTACTACTGGTACATGTGCACTTTATCTACTAATGTAGATTTACAAAAATAGTTTATTCTTACCTGGGCCTAGTTTGACAAAAGTTAAGCATTTTTTTAAACTATAATTCGCTGAATTCACACATCAGGTCACGCCACAATGATAGACTCAAACAATACACCAAGCCAATGGCAACAAAACACATTATAATTGGGTGATTTGAGCAAAGGATGCCATAACATCAGAATAGCTGTCCTTCGACTGCTGGTGCCAAGCACATTCCACTATACCTCACCTTTCCACAGGTACATATATGCAAAGGTCAAACCAGGGTCCTTTGTCAGTACCTGGGGCAGGATCACACCCAACACACCTGCCCGTTTTTTATGTGAATTATTTAAAATCTTAAAAGAAGACTTAAAAAGCCCATATCCTAAGATGAATCTAATTCTGAGATTATTTAGGACAGAAAGTTTCTACTCCTCGGGGAAAAGCACTGCGGAAAGTTTCACGCCGGAGAAAAGTCTGGGAACTCCAAACCGGCTTCCCCGCCTTGGGAACGCTGGAGCTGCCCGAGAGCCCTTGGCTCTGCAGGGCGTTGGCTCCACGCGTCCTCCTCCAACTCTCCAGGAGCAGCACTCTCCAAGGGCAGCCTGCTTCTCACTGGCTCCAGCCTGCCCCGTACGTCGCGGGCAAGAAAGCCCAGCAACCGTCGATCGTGTCCACCAACATGAAAGCAACCTCCTCTACATGGAGGCTGTTGACGAGGCGCCATTTTGTGAGGAGCTCCCCTTCCCTCAAGGTGCTGCCCTTGCACGCTCACAGAGACCGGGAGCTGAAGAGAAAAGGCGGGAAAGCCTCCCGGGGGGATACAAACCTTGGTTCCAGACGGTAGCGGCGAGCGCCAGCAGCGCTACCAGAAGGAAGGCAACCCTACGAGACAATTCCATTGCCCGTGTCTTAAGAAAGCAGGTAGGCTACAACGCAGGCAGGTGCGGGCGAAACGCGGATTCGACGCTCAAATCTCCGTGACTTCGCTTCACCCTTTCTCCCCCTTTTCTCTCGAGCTGCTCAGCAAGTTCCACAGGAAAATTGAGCTCCTTTCAGCCAGCCGCGCCCGCCTCCTCAGGTTACACCTGGTTCCCCCCGTTCGCCTCAGCACCTGCGTCGCTCGTATTTCCTTTACTTCCGCCTCCCCAAAGGTGAACAAATGAGTCTCGTTGGCTCCGAGAATTTATAGCTCGCAACGCCACTTGCACGAAACTGGGAGCGGCCGACAGGCGGGGCTGGGGGCAGTAGGGCGACGAGGACTCACCTGCGCGCCCGACTAGCCATATATAGTCTCTTCCGGGTAAAGTTCGTTGTGGGGAGGAGGTGCTATAATGAAGTAATGTTCCGAGGACGGTGTGAGGTAACAATAGGCAATTTGAATACAGAATTCTAAAACGGCTTATCAACGATCGGTGAGATTTGTTCCCTGTACCGTATACAGTTGTATACATTGTGGTTTTCTTGGCCTTCAAAAAAAAATCTTTTCTTGAGGTGCTGTCTACCAACTTGTTTACAATCTAAGTTTACAATGGACATCATAGGAAAGAAAAACTAAAAAATAGAGGTTTAAAACAGAGATGAATCCATTTAACGCAGAATACAGTACTGTAGTTTTAAATGGGACAAAGGCTCGGTTAAATACATTTTAGCTTCTCACTCAACTATGCTGAGTTTAAAGAAACAGTGCTCAAATAGTTCACAATATAAATAATAAAATCAGCACAAAGCCACCAGTGATGCTATCAAGAAGGATTTTGCGATGAGTATCCTGACTTAATTTGAAAAATGAGCTCCCCCCCCCGCCCCATAGCAAGGCTGGCTCATAATATGTTAAAATAAATAAAGCAACAGATATTTTTATCTAAAGTGGAGACCCTGTTAAATGAACTATACCTAGAATTCAAAAGTATAAAAATGACACATAGTCAAATTAATAATAGGGCAAAAATACTTGAAAAATGCAACAAACAAAATACAAAAATATAGATCTTTTTCTGCATATTCTTTAGGCCATTCCATTTGCATTCACAACTAAGGATTTCTCCTCTCTTTCAATATTTTCTCCTGTAAAAACTAGGGCTCTTGTTTGATCTACTTTATGTTTGTATTTGCATGCTGGTTTTGAGTATCTTGTATTAGATTTATGAAGACAAAGTGGGAAATGCACTCACATTCTCAAATTGCTTGGGCTCCATTAGTATTGAAGGGTGTGACATAGAAAAAGTGGTTTTACACACATAATCTCTTTTGTATTCAGAGGTGGATATAAATCAAATGTATTACTTAACTTTTAATTGTTCTTTTGATAGGATGAGGAACTTAATTCTCAGCTCTTTGTTCTTTGCTTTTTAAAGTTTCCAGAAAGGAAGGATTGGTATGAATGAAAACTATGCTACAATCATGTTTAATAGACACATAGAATGTAAAGGTTGGCAGTTATCTTGTAAATCATCTAGTGCAACTGCTTATGGCAAAATGCCATTGAACTGATTTTTCATACTTTTCTTGGCTGCTTATTTGCAGTGCAGAAGTGCAAATACATTAAATATTAATTTAACAAGGATACACCAAATTGAACAAGGAAAATGAAAAACACAACAAAGGACTTGTGACTCCTTAAAACTAGGAAACTTCTTGTGGCAGGACTTTTGCACCAATAAAGATTATACAGTACTATAGTGAAATTGCTATTAAGATGTTATCAGATTTATAGCCCTAAGAAAAATTGATGAAAATCTCAGATTTAATCATTTTTTGCACCTCAAAATCCTTTGGAACATCTAGTTATATTCACTGGAATATAGTCCATGTAAACTAATCTAGGCTGATATAGTCTACCTATGTAAGGAAGGCAACGGAAGAGCATATTAATGTGTTCTCTAGTTGGTGGCAGCAACACTGGTAAAATATCTGCATAGCTCCTTGGTTGTCACTTACCAATTACGAACAGAGAGTAGTAAGCTTGATGATTAGTGGTCTGATTAGCTAAAAGTCTATTACTCCAATATGCCTTTTAGAAAAAAGGTCCATTTCTTTGATCTGGAAAGTCAGAAAGAATGAACCCTAAACTGATCTATTAGAATTTTCCCTGTTTTTTTCCAAAATCACATAGCATCCCAATAATTTGTTTATTTACTATCTTTCTATTTCACTTTCCTAACAAAATAAATTTTCTAAGATAACTTGCATTAGCAAAAAATGAAAATACAGTAGTTACAACAGGTAGTATAGAGAGAGAAAAATAAAGCAGGTTCCATTCGATTTGCAAGCTAAAAAGACAATTTTTAAAAAAGTTGACTGAAAAGTTTACAGGAAAAATTCGATCTGATGTTTTAAGAATCAAATACAGTATACACTTTTTAAAAATTGGTACTAGGTTGATCTCTGTTTCTGTTTTAATTCTAGCTTGAATACCAATCATGCAAATTTTCAGTGGCCATTACAGTATTCTTCTAGCCATTGGCTGATTCTGTAAAATTCTATCCTTTCATTTGTACAACCATTATAGTTTTTCCTTCTTAAATTCAGTTCTATTCACCCCAGTTATAAAAATAAAATGCTTGCAATATAATCAACAAAGCAATGCTGGGATGAGAAATACTAATACTAATAACTTTCCATGGAACAATTTTTCCAGTTCTGTGCCTCCACATGAAATCATACAAGTTCTCAAAAAGCACAGTGATCCAGTTCCATGAACATATCTAAGAATACACTTGTTTATTCAGACTAATCAATCCAAAATAGCTACCTCCCACAGCTTTGGCATCACAAATAGTTATAACAATTGCTTCTCCACCCACAAGAATGTAATATGCGAGTAGCAGAAAATTCACTTTTACTTACTGCAGAATATACATTCTCCATTGACAAAATGTGTGTGGAAGAATTGGAACTGGAAACATAAAGAGAAATTGGCAAGTTATTTCTACTTTTCATCCTTTTTCCTCCATTACTTTCTATTTTTGTCTTATTCATATTGTTTTCTAGATACAGGCAAATATAAAGGTTTAAGCATGGATGTCTTTATACAACTTGGGCCAGTATGCCAGAAATTATGATTGTTGCCAAGAAAAGACTTTCAAAATTAATATATGCTTTAAGAATGCATTTTTTAAAATCCTTTTATAACTTTTTAATTATGTTAATTATGACAACATGAGTATATTTAAGTGGTAATGAAACAGATAAAGTTTATTTATAGGTTTCATATCTGCAGAGTTTGTTTTTTTAAAAATACAAGCTTTTTCATAGTACAGAATAAAATATGTGTTCGTACAGTACAATTGGGACAGTCCAAGTAGAGCTGACAGAGGTCCCAGGTTCCAGTATTTTTTAGTTCAGCAGAATAGCTGTAGCGCCCGCCCTATGGAACATCTTGCCGCCTGAGGTGCGGTGTGCCCCCTCCCTCATGGCCTTCAGGAAAGAGATCAAATCCTG